CTTTTCAGAGAGCCATAACCTCGCCCTGGATGCCGCAGTTGTCCACGTACTCGGGGACATTGTAGGTTCAACCTACATCTGAACTACGATGCTCCTCACGCTTGTCCACGGCATCAGATACAGTCTCTGGGTGTACTGCTAGCCGCTGTGCTCATCTATTGGAAACCATTCGACGTTGGTTACATCCATGGCATATCAAAATGGAAGTATTCTGAGTAACTCCTCGTAAACTCAGTTGTCTATTCTCAGCTATGCGGATCCGGCTTGTACCATTCTGTTCTCGATCCTGGTCATGTTCACTACCTTCAGTGAGGCCCCTCTCGATTTGCTCGTGGAGTGGTATGCTATCTTTCCCCTTTAGAAACAGTGAAGCAGTCAGTGCATATCCTCATGCAAAGGGTACCTGATAGTGTGGACGTGGACCTCCTACAGACGAAGCTGAGACACGTTGAGCATGTGCAATGCGTAGTGTCCATCTCCCCTCCTCCCTAGTACGGCTCTGTAGCGCTCCCTCAGGTCCATGATGTCCATGTATGGAGTGTTGGCTCGACTGGTAATATTTGTACGGCTCACATAGTCGTGGCTGGATGCAGCAACTGCAGTAGGTCACTGAGGGGAAGGGCTTGCGTGCACTGAATTGAGAATGAAAGTATTCTTTGAAATCATAGGAGGTGAACAGTGGCTGGGTTTACTTGGGTCTTCTTGGGCGAGGAAAGGGACATGTCTACTGTCAATTCGAAAAGGAGACATTTTTATGCATTTTTCTGTAGCGTTTTGCCGAACACGTTTTTAGGAGAATCGTGAAATATTTACGCGATATCAAATACTCAGCTTATGGCGCACTTTTTCCGCAAAACTTTTTACTACTGGTGACTTTGCATGAACCTACCATTTGTGAAATGGTCGAATACACGCTATCAATGTCAGGTCGTGTTCTGGATGAGGCCACTAGGGTTGCCAACGACATGGGTATAAGCCATACCACCTTTCAGCTTGAGGCTAGGGCCGAGGACGTTGATGTCAGTGCCCTGCAGGTGGGGGAGAAGGGTCGCGGCCTGATCGGAGCTGTATTGGTCGTATTAGAATTCCTGTTGTCATAACCAAGCCTGTAATAAGGGGGACGATACATGTGGTGCACCATCGGAGGCTATATCAGCACCAGTAGTGATAGTGTCCCCTAGGGACACGTCACCGTTGTTGAAGGTAAGCCGCGAACTCCACGTACCCACCTAGTTTGCCCTATTGCTAGGCTCAGCCACGATCGTGAGGTCCCAGCCTGTAACTATTTGATTTTGCTGGAGGATCATCATTACATTATCTCATCTGAACTATGTGGATTCTCTACTGTCTTATTCTCCCACGATTTTGTTTGAAGTTTGCGTTGTATCTGCCACGCTGAATGCCTCCCTATGGTCTTTCTATTTTGATGAGCTCCCCATCCCCATCGTCATCTCATCATCATCACTATAGCAGCCACGCGAGGAGGAGGCTCGGGATCGTCCTTGTGATAGCGGTCGTATTCATGGTGGCTGAGGTGGTCGGTGGTATTATAGTCAAGTCCCTGGCCATCGTAATGCATGCTCTTTGGTATGTGGTGCATCACTAGTTCCCAGCTCACGTTGGCCTGAAGGGCTGTGAGAACTGCAGTGAGTCATAGCGTTCTTGACCATCGTTGTGATTGTTGTTGCTGATGTTGTAGGTACAGTGTTGGCCAAAGCTAAGACCGTGGCTAGGGGCATGGGCATTTCCCATGCGACTTTTCAGCTGGAGGTATGCGCGGAGGACATGGACGATGGAAAGAGGAGGGTAGGTGGCAATTGCGTTTCCTGCATACCACTCCTTGAGTTCCTCTCAGGACACATGTTGCCATAGGGAGTCCTGCTATGCTGGGGACTCTACCTGTGATGGCGAATCTATTGTTTATTGATGTACTCTTATTCTCTCATCATTTGACAATACTGCACGAGTATCACTCCTGCTTCAACTGCTTCTGCAATTTTCAGCATCTGGTGTCAATGCCAGCTTTGACACTGCGCGCGACTTCCTTGACAGTCGCCTTGGATTTCACCGTGTAAAAAATCCAGTGTACTCGCGCTGCATATGGGGCCTCTCATAGTTCCCTTGACTTTGTTGTTTGTCGGGTAGTAGTGATTTCCAACCTTCGAATGAGGAGTAGTGTTGTGCCAGGAAGTGGGAGGGGGCGGCAGGAATCTCAGGTGAAACTTTGAATGGCTCTGGAAAACAATAAGGAACTCCTCAAGCAAGCCCGTCTGGGGAATATGGACGGCGAAAAAGGTGTAAAGTTCTTGGCTGGTGAAGTACTTCGAATACAGGGTCCAGAAGGGTTGAACTACTGCGAGAAACCGTATTTTAGGAGGTAAGTTTCCGTATCGGTCCGCACTGTAATTTCCGGTCACAGCGCTCTGTGGGAGGGCACATGGAAGAACCACGAAGCTACAGTGAGATATCTCATTGACAAAGGAGCTGATGTTAACTTCAAAGATAAGGCCGGACGGTAATAGCAGTGGATCATTTCAGCCGGAGTGGTTTAATGGTAGTACACCGTTACACGAAGCATCGCGATATGGTCATACTACTCTAGTGGAGCTCCTAGTGGACCACAGAGCCGACATAGACTCCTTGGATGGGTGAGTTCAGCGGTTTATGGTCCTCTCAGTTGCCCCTTAGGGCCGGCGAGTCCCCATTGGCACAAGCAGTGAGCTGTTGTCGCATGATGTATGGCGCTGTTGACGCCAGGGCGCTAGTGAGTGCGGGTAGGGTTGGCTTTGG